AGGAGCCCCCCGCACCCGCAGTTCCTTTCTCGAGGGACAGAGGTGATAACTGACCGGGGGCGTGAGCAGAACAAGGTCGCTGGGGGTGCTGGGCGCCCGTGGAGCCCAGAGCATGGAGCACACGCAGCGGGGCAGGTGCACACAGGGTGTGCAAACCGGGAGCCCCACGTCTGCACGCCCCCTTGAGCGCCCACGGGTGCGCAGCTCCTCGAGCAGGGACTGTCCTCCCTGTGGCACGGGCGCCACGAGACCTCCAGCCCGGCTGGACAAGTAGGGGCGCAAACTGACCCTGCGGCCGACCCTGTGGCCGGGGCTGCCACGCCGTGAGAACCCCAGCGGGGGGCCAGGGGCCACTCACCCACAGCAAAGATGTCAACACCCAGGTCCTTGAGGGCACGGCCAGCGGCACGGGCATCATCTTGGGACTTGCCGTCCGTCACCAGAATCACCACCGTGGCCGCCTCTGGACGGGGCCCCGCCCCCGGCCGCAGGTTCTGCTCCAGCACGTGTGACAGGGCCAGGCCTTGGGCACAGCGGTGGTAAAGGGCATGTGGCCCCAGGCGCCCCTCCTGGTGCCCTCCCTGCCCGGTGCCACCCCACCGGCCACTGACCCCAGCACAGTGCCCACTGAGTCAGTCCTGGCCCCTCCAGGGGGAGGGGCACCCAGAGGCAGGGACCACCCCCTTCCCTCAAAGCACCGCGAGACCCAGGGTCTGCCCGTGGGAGACGGCAACCCCCGTTTTCATCAAAGGTCAGCAAGGAGAGATTTGCTTTTTACAAAGGTGTGACTCAGGCTCAGCGCCCACATAGCACTTGGCTGGATCAGCGTCCAAGTTTCCAAATCTGGGAGGCTGACCTGCGGGACGGAGACCCGAAAACAGAAACCCCCGGGGTGGGGCCGCTGGGAGCCCAGGCAGACCTGTGAACGTGTTTCCCCCTTTGTAGCGGAGGCTGCGGACAGCGGCCAGCACGTCCTCCTTGGCGCCGAAGGTGCTGAGATCCCACTCAGTCTGGGGGTCTCCACTGTACTGAGTCAGGCCTGCAGCGGGGGCAGGGTGGGTGAGCGGAGGCCCCATGCGCAGCCTCACCAGGACGCCAGGAAGGCCCCCCTGTTCCACACTGAGAGGTCACCAGAACGTGCCCCGAGGAGCCAGCTGTCCCACCTGCCCCTGTGGGGACCCCCCCCAACCTGGCTGTCCCACCTGCCCCTGTGGGGATTCCCACACGCCCCTGTGGGGATGCCCCTGCCTGGCCTGGCAGGGTCAGCCTGTCAGCTACGGGTGAGACCCACTGGTGGGGCTCTCCTGTTTCCCCAAGAGGCTCTGGGCCTCTGCCCTGACTTCCAGTTCCTTTGAGCTGGGCGTCCCCCGCATGCTGGTAGGACTTGTGGGGACACCGGGGGGGGGGGCAGGGCCACGAGGCAGGCAAGGGGCCGGTACCCACCGACTTGGACTTTATCCGGCCCGATGTCAAAGGGCTCGATGACGCTGGCCAGGAAATCTTTGACCTGCTGGAAGTGGCTGTGGCCGATACTCCAGGACCCGTCCACCAGGAAGATCATGTCCACAGGTGTAGGGGGTGTGCAGCGGAACTGGGGGCTGGCTGGGGGGGAGGGTGGGTGGCGAGGAGCTGGGCCAGGCCCACAACACCACAGGGCTACCTCCCCAGCTGCTCTGGGCCAGCTCCAGCCCCCCAGGATCTCCTTCCCTGGGGCCGAGGGAGAGGGAGGGGCCACGGGGCTCTGGCTGGAGTGAGGGGGGTGACCAAGTCCCTACGTGAACGTCGGTCCCTGTGTTGGCCCCCGGAGCACCCCCAGAGAGGGTTAGTGAGACGCCCGGGTGCTCGGGCGGCCTCGGCAGTGCCGGTCCCCCTGTGCAGTTGTCCACGTGGGGGCGGGCCAAGGGGGTGCCCACTGGGGCGGGTGGGGGTCAGCATGGCTGGCAGCTCTGGGCTGAGGTCTCACTGGCTTGTCCCATGACCTAGGAGCTCTCTGGAGATGACGGAGCCACTGCCCGGGTCGGGGGCTTCCTGAGAGTCCGCACAGACAAGTCCTCCGGGCTGAGCGCCCACCCCCCGCCCCCAACCGACCCCGTGACAGACCCCTCGTGAAGACTCCCAGGTAGGGGAAGTGCAAGGAGACCCCCCTCTAATGGGGGACACGGTCCCGCCTACAGGGCCTCACGGGCCCACCAAAAATGCCCCAGCTGTCTGCCCTGCCCTGGGTCACACGGGAGCAGCCACCTGGGAGCAGGCAGGGGCTGGCGCCCTGGTTGCTTACCTGGCTTCTCGGTCTTTCCCTCGGGGGCCCTGGGGTGGCTCTGCCTCTCCAGGTCTTTGGTGGGCTGAGAAGGGGCCTTGCCCCCGGGGCCCCTGGGCGGGCGCTGCTCCTCACCGAGCAGTCCTGGGGGGACACGGCTGTGTGTCAGCACTTACCCGCCGCACGCGGGCAGCAAGCAAGGCACACTGGGGCCCGTGCGCAACCCCAGCGGTGACCTGTGCCCCCTGATCTGCGTGAAGCCAGGAGAGCGGCCGGCACGCTCCAGGTCAAGCTGGAATGTGGGGTCCCCCGGGAGGAAGCGCCCCGCCCCATGAACAGAGCAGACCCCAGCGACTTACCCTCATCCCACCGGGAGCCGCCAAGAGTGGGCGGGTCTTGGCTCGGGGATGAGGCGACTGGGGGCTCCGGGGCTGGGCTCCCCACGTGGGAGGGCGTGGGCTCCGGGGCTGCCCTCAGGGGCCTCTTCAGCTCCTCTACTGCAGAGAGGGACGAGGGGCTGGGAGCAGAGTCGGGGGAGGGGGGCCGGGGGGGCTACGGGAGAGCCACAGCTCCAGCCAGAGCAGAGCCAGGGTCCCGCTCCTCCCCACGCGCAGGCTCTGTGGCTGGGCTCCAGGGGCGAGGTGATGGACTTACTCACAAACTCCCTCTGTGCCAGCAGGGTGGTCCCTGAGCCAGTAAGCTGGAAGATCTGCGCGGTGTAGCCCTTGGAGGGGCTCAGGCCCCCCACCGTGGCCTTGGGGGCCTTCGTGGTCAGCATCACATCCTGCTCCGCGTCCCCTGGGGTGGGGAGAGAACAGGGACGGGGGGAGGTCTTTGCTCCTCTCTGTGGGGTCTGACGGGAGGGACTGCACTCTGGGGAATGAACTGAAAGGGAATGCCTGTCCGTGGCTCCATGGCAGCAACACGTCCGTGTCCTTGACGAGGACTTACCCTCCATGACTTATGCACACGTCCTCCAGGCGCCCAGCACAGCGTCCTCGGGGACACCTTGAGGACGTGAACATGGGGGCACACGGAGAGAGGAAGACGGGGGAGTCGGGGCCCCCGCTCTGCCCTCAGCACTGTGGTTGGACCGCATGGTGCCAGCCCGCAAACACCTCCGTGGGTCTGAGGCCGAGGCTGAGTTTCAAGCATGAAAAACAAGCAAAATCCCAAAGGGGACGCGGCTGTCTGCTCAGAGGAGACACTGAAGTGGGTGTCAGGGGGCGCCGGGCACCTGTCCCATCTCCCGTGCCAGGCAGGGGAAGGGGTAGGAAGGGCCGGCACCCCTGCAGATGGAGAGAAGGCCGACTCTGCCCTGTTGTGTGGCCAGCCTGCACCGGGGGCGCGCGAAATCCAAGGAGTCGCGGAATTGCCGCTGTCGTAATTAGGAGCCACTTTGTCAGGCATTCACTGTGTGTGCGTCACGTTCATCAAGTTGCGTGATTTTCACAAACCCACTGCCCCCACTTTGTAGGAGGGAAAACCGAGGCCCCAAGGACCAAGCCACAT